TACAGAGCATATAATAACCAAGGGACTTCAAGGAGTGATAAAGTTAGCAACTTTATCCAAACCAACCAATTATAACCACAAACCATGAAGGAAATGACTAAAAACCTAGATCCACAAGAGATGAACCAAAAAGATGGAAACTTGGAGACTTGCCCAAGTTTAGAAGGTGCACCAATAGATGTAGACAAGCTTGCTATATGATCCTTTGCTCAACAAAGTCCTCTTTCAACCTTTAAGAGGCCAAAACACCATTAGAGAGCTCAAAAGGCAAGTGTAACATCCCAAAATACGAAGGTAAAAATTTCATTTTTAAAACAACCAAAACACCCATTTATCATTTACTCAAACACTTAAAAGTATTTTATAATAAAAACAGTTATCAGAGTACAATCCCAAAATCACATAATTGCGGAAAAGCATGGGTGTATGTGTTGCGATCAAGTCGGGCCCTTCCTTTTCGAACCGGAAGTACTTGAAACCATAAAGAACAACTGTAAGCACAAAGCTTAGTGAGTTCCCCAAATACCACATACCATACACAACATGCGAGCCAAACATAACATACATATCCAACATTCAAAAGGAGGTGCTATGTGCCAATCATAGTCTTGCCATTATGCCACGAGCCGTATCATGGTCTTTCCTTGCCAGGCCGGGGGCCAAAACCTTGGGTCTTATAGACAAGTGCCAGGAGCCACCTCCTGGTCTTCCATGCAAGCATCACAAAGACAACTAACATACAATCTACCACTACTTATCTCATTAACTACCAGAGTCCAAACTCTGGTCTTACATACAGATTGCCAGGAGCCACCTCCTAGTCTTTCATACAAATGCCAAGGGGCACCCCTGGTCTTCCTATAATACATAAACCAAATGGGTCGGCATTGGTGCCTGCGACCCATAGTATAGTGAGGAGACTCACCTCAAACCAAGATAACTGAATACTCAAGTTGCTGCTACCGGAAGCCACGCACTGACAACATCAAACAATATTTCATCAATAACTGGTTCTCGGCCCAACCAAAATTCTAGTCCAATAACCAACCTTCAAGGTAAAAGTCCATTTTACCCTTTTTCCTTACTTGCCATAAATCCAAAGACTAATCCGCAAGCATCATAAGCCCAAACCATGAAATGACACCACAAGGCCCAAATATCCAAATTGGGCCCAATACCATCATGTGCCTAACCCGAGAAGGCCCAATATCCTAAAAGGCTCAAAATAATCAATGGTCAACCCTGGTCAAACTTCTGGTCAACGATCCATGGACAACAAGTCAATAAAACAAGAAAAGTCAACCAGGCCAAGTACGCCCCCGCATACTCAGCTAGTACGCCCAATGTACACCCTTTGGGGCCAGTACGCGTAGTGTACCAGATGGGTACGCCCAACGTACTCCCTTGAACCCCATTTTCTCTATTTAGCACATAACCACTTAAGTCCTTGCTCCAAACTCTCAGATCTGATTCCTATGGATGACTTAACACGTAAAGTTGGCAACTTTACTTGCAATGCATGGCTTAATGGGGCTATAGAGCTCAAAAGAGCCTAACGAAAGGTCTTAACACATGCACGAGTCCAAATAAACCATAAAGATCACATTTTTATGCCTTTGGGACACCTCAAATGTCCAGATCTACAAGATTAAGCCTCTGAAACAACCTTAGCTCACAAGGACCAACCAAAAGAGGCTAAAATGACCATAAGCAAGCCCAAAAGAAGATCTATACAATGAGTAGACAAGATAGGGACTTTATACCTCCAAAATCACGAAATGAAGATGCTAACACTGGATCTCTAAGCTCCTCTCCAAGAAATGAGTCTTCAACTTTCCTCTTCTCTTACACAAACCACTATAAACACTCTTCCAAGCTCCAAAACTCACTCAAGGCACTCTACGGTTTCAATGTATGCTAAAGGGGATGGAGGCTGACTTAAAAGACCAAAATGAAGGTTATAGTGATGCTTATATAGGGGTAAAACCCCAAAATTAGGGTTTGGTGCTGAAGGGAGTATGCCCCACGTACCCCTTAGTACGATCGGCGTACTCATGGACCAACCGCGACCAACTTACTCGGTACGCACCGCGTACACTCTAGTACTCCCCGCGTACTAGATGGCCCTCCAAAACCCTAAAACTTCATTCGACCCTAACTCCTTCGTTCTAAGTCCGTTTCAGACGAACTTTATATCCACGAAAAGGTGACGAGAAGCCCTACACTTCTAACAAGTCACCTTAGCCTTAAAAATTCCCGAACCAAAACCCAAAATTCATAAAAGACTGAGTTATCAAATTACGATTATACCCTTGGGCTCTGAAACACCATCGAACTCTTGGATCATCTAAACTATAATACCCACATCCAAAAAGGGCCAAATTCTTTCTTACCCAAGGCCCTAAGCCTTATGATGACTAATGATCGGACCACAACCCCGAATAATGAAGCGATTCGAAACCGAGTGTTACAGCAAGGAGAGAGGCTATGGTTTCATTGATAAAGGTTGGAGGATAAGAATGAACCCTAGGTCATGAATTAATGACTCTAAATATGCGAGAAACCCTAAAATTCATGGGCTTGGGCTTCATTTGCTGTCGTGACCATCTTCCCGTCACGTCGTGACAAGTATCCCTGATACGCATTCCTCATTTGGGATGCCATGTCGTGACACCCTTCATATCACGTCGTGGAACCTGATTTTCCTCAAAAACCATGTCTTTGACTCATTTATACCATCTATTGGTCCAATATTAGAAACGGGTGTTACAGTGTGACCATAAAGTATACAGAGCATTGTCATTTCCTACATGTACAAGTCTTATATCGTAGACCGACGACGCCATTTTTCTTATAATCATGTACTTTAAATATGGTGTTTTCGATAGGAGTGTTCAAAACTGGATATCCGAAATTTCAGATATCCGAATTTCGGATATCCGAAAATTTCGGATAATGGATATTGATATCCGAATCTGTATCCGAAATTTCGGATACGGATACGGATATCAATTCTATATCCGAAAGTTTTTTATTTTTTGTCAATCCAATTAAAAAATCTCAAAAATAAAGCACCGCTTAAGACTTACGTAGATTAAAATAAGCATCTTCATATTTTAAATAAATTGTTTAAAAACAAAGAAATAAAGTGAAAAAAGAGTAACATAATAACTCAAATTTCTTTTGCATTTGTACATGACCTGTAGTGCAATTCTACCATTATATATTCTATCATCAGTTCATGGTTTATATATATTCTCTAAGGGTTTTACATAAGGGATTTATATGTATTTATATGTATTGAACTTTGCATAAGTAGACTAAAATTAAAATCTTTATCATCCCTCACTATTATAATATAATATTATGGAGATGCCTACACGACCAAGATGAATATATCTCATCAAAAAATCTTCATAGTTTTAGCATAAGAAAACATAAAATAAAATATTAGTGAAAATAAATTATAAAATTCATTAGCAATCACACATTTGATCTAATGTTAACAATCAAACTCGAGACTATATATTAATACTTTGCACCTTTTCATATTAAAAAAATAAATAAATAAGAAAAAAAATTTGGGATATCGGATATCCAAAATATCCGAAAACTTACAAAATCACTATCCGTATCCGAATCCGAAAAATCGGATATCCGAATTTCGGATATCCGAATTTTCGGATATTTTCGGATACGGATGTCGGATAATTCGGATTCTCGGATACGGATATTTTTGAACACCCATAGTTTTCGATGGAATATACCTTCTGGAATATACCTTCTGTTTGAACCTGAGCACCCCCCTTTCAAACACTGTCTTTGTATAATGGTTGATTGAGTTCTAAAATTTCGCTACACAATATAACATGTTTGTTATATAATGCTAAAATACATTTTTTCTATATATGTTTATGTATTTGCCTCCAACATTAGGATGTTGAAAATATCATTGTTGCATAGTGCAACTAAAAACTCAATGAATAGATGTTGATAGTTTCTGCTCATCTCTCGGTAACTCATTGATAGATTCGAAACTATTAGAGGTCATTATAATATTACGCACCCTATGCAAGCACATCATTGCCTACTTTTCATGACCAACATCCTCTAGTCATACATATTGAGTTGGAACTACACAATGTAGCCTAACCAAACTTTCTTATAAATCAAACATGTTATACGCCTTGCATATCTCCCATAACATCTCCACTCTTTGATATTTTTCAGTATTAGCTTGTAAATTCATGAGTGTATGTAGACAACAAAGATCATGATATGCATTTGGAAACATATGTATGACGGACAGGCTAATGGAATTGTCCCTAACGGGTGTGATGGCTAAAGTCACAATATCCCAATACATTCATTCAAACTCGATAAAAAACCATAAATATGATTCCTCACTTTCTATTTTGTCTACTATGTAGAAGAAAAGAACAGGTTTGGTTGTTTTCATCCATAGAAACCACTAGGAGCATTGTTCCAAAGTATTGTCTATCAAGGCTATCATCGTCCCAAAGTATTGTCTTATCTTTTAGAGAAAAGTAAATTACATTTTAGTATTTTTATTTATTACTTTTAGTAATTATAAAATCTAATTCTTACGAAAATAACGTTTTAAAAAGAATTAAATTGAAGAGGTCAATAAGATATTAACATTTGGTTGAAAGATGTAGGCTAATCAAAGCGGATCTTGGGCTGCCTCAGGAAGTAGTTTGGAAGAGTTTTTCTATTTTTCGCTTTTTTAAGCGTTTTTATTTGGATTGGATTGGTGTAGATAGTGGATATGTATAGTCTAAGCTGATCAAACTTATTATCGAGTTGTTGCATATTTCTTTTTTATAAATTGAACTTTAAGTATGGTATATATCAAATTTTTAAGGGATATGGATGATGTAACACTTTGTGCTGAAGCATTATTGCTTGTTCTAAATCAAATCCACTATTCCACCAAAGAAGAGGGCAATGTTGGTGATTTTAGCATTCATCAAACATTTTTTAGTAATTCGGATTTACACGAGTACTTGAGGGGATTTAGGTTACAAAATAGGATAATATTATCCCACAATCAAGTTTCAAATACAACATAGCATATTAGAATTCGACCTCCAAATACATGTATATGGCCTTTAGCTATATCAACAACTCCTGATTTATTTAGATACATGAAGTACTAACCATAGTGATCAATGAGCTTCAAGTGGCATCCCGATCTTTTCACCAAAGTTAACAATGTACTTTCTCCTAGCTGGATGCTCTTCTTGTGGCCTATTGAATGCAGTCCATACTGGCTCTCCAACAAATAACCTCATCAACTGCATACACCCAAATACCATCATAACCCATAAGGTGTTGTTTCTTTTTTACTTGATAGACTTCATAGGGACAATATGGGTGTCTTTTTGACTTAATAAAGAAAGTTCCTATTGGATTTGTTGGAAAGTAGTTTGTTTGACATTAAAATGTAAGCAGAATTTCAGTGACTTTACTTTACCTTGATATAATTGGAGGTGTCGAGGGTGAAGCGATGGTATATTCCTGCAGGCAAGATGATAAGATCACCTGACTTTATCCAAATACGAATCCAGCGATCATCTTTATCCCTAACATCAAAATACCCACTCCCTTCCAAGCAGTAACGTATTTCTTCATCTGCATGAATGTGTTCTGTATAGAAGTTCTTCAGCTTTTGCTCGTAATTCTCCACTTTCTCAGGGCACAAATCCAGCAAATCCTACAAAATGAAGTTACCAAAGCTAAAACCGTACTCTACAGTCTACAGCCATCTTAAGCTGAAAAAGAAAAAGAAAAAAGGGGTGCATCGGTTGAATTTAGGTTAAAAGTGTAAGAGTACCATGTAATTGTAGCCTCTGGTAGCCCTAATATGTTCTAATTCTTCATCCTCCTCGTACTTTTCTGGATTTAGCTTCCAGTGCAAAACGCCCAATTCTACACAGATTCCAAAGGCGAATAGAATTTAGGGTTCCCCTAATCGAAAGTCATACATGTCGGATTATTTTGCGATTTTGAAAGTGAAAACATGAAGGTACCTGCTAAGTGATCCGGGGAGACGAACTCATAGGGATTGCGATGATGAGGAAGCTGTGGATCCTCATGGCTATTATCCATGAACCATGCCTGCAACGAAGATTAAAGTCGTGATCGTTGATGTAATGCTGAAAGAAGTCAAAGAGTTCGATTGAGAAAGCAAAATTATTTACTAACCTGAAGAATCGCCATAGAAATTAAACGAAGTGTGCCACAATTGCGTCAGTCGTCTGAATCAAAATCACATATATATTATGTGTATTGGATTCTCGAGGCTTCCAAGATTTTTGGTTGCCTTGTTTTGTCAGATAACCATCTATGGTCATCAGCTTCCGTTGGTTATTGTGGCTTCCATTTTTCCTCCAGCACAAAATTGCATAGGTGCAATTTCTAAATTGTTTCGTCACAAATCAATGGAAAAATGACTTCTAACTAACTATTTGGTATGTTAACATCTAGGTAATATATATATATATATATATATATATATATATATATATATATATATATATATATATATATATTTCTTGAACTCATTTACCCAACTAACTTGTTTCATAAGTTCACAAATATCCATTATTACCGGCAAACACAGGTTTTTGATGATGTGGCATCTGCGTGACCAATACATTGAAATACTTATCATCTACGTGGCGTTGTACGTTTTTGTCATCATCATCGTTTACAATATAAATGATCCGAGATACGACGATTACTGATCCAAAAGAACCCTAGATCGACCGATGACTTCTTCTTCCTCATCTTTTTCTTTTTCTTCTTCTTCTTCCAAACGACAAGACGTATTGCAAGCTGATCATCCATGTGATTGTAAACGACCATCTTGTGTGAAGATTTCAAGGACCCCCAACAATCCTGGAAGACCATTTAGAGTTTGTCAAAACTCAGTGGTAAATCAATTTTCGTGAGTTTTTGTTAACTTATGCTTCTTCATCCTTCAATTTAACTTTTTTTTTAAAAATTTCTTGAATAATGGAAAAAGTCCAAGATGTAAATTTTGGCAATGGATGGATGAGGATGAAGGGAGGACAGATGGAATAAGCCATGAGAGGATGAAATCATAAGAAGACTGTAATCTTTGGTGAAAACTTCGTACCTTAGAGAATGAAACTAGTATATTCAGGTTGAAGATCGAAGAAAAGAAGATCACTAATTTGGTTAACAGACAAGAGTTGGAGAAAGTCAACTGGAAGTTGTTTAGTCATAAAGTTGTGTTGGTTGTGTTGTTTTTCTTATATGTGAAAATGTTGTTTTGAATTAGGAATCCTTTTGCATTATGTAGATAATGATGTATCATGACCAATGAAAATGTTGTTTTGGTTAAGTGGAATGGAATTGTAATATTGTAATGAAACATTGTAATGGAAAATTTAGAATTCTAAATATTACAAATGGAATGGAACGGAATGAATTGGACTGTTTTGAATGAACAATTTTATTGTATGGAAAATTGGTTAAGTGGAATGGACTTGGAATGGAATTGTAATGAAACATTGGAATAGAATTGGATTTCTAAATATTCCAAATGGAATGGAATTGGACTGTTTTGAATGAAAAGTTTGATTTTATGAAAATTGGTTAAGTGGAATGGACTTGGAATGGAATTGTAATGAAACACTGAAATGAAATTGGATTTCTAAATATTACAAATGGAATGGAATTGGACTGTATCATGACTAAAATATTGGAATAGATGGTAAAAGATTCCATGAAACAAGTTTGTTACAAAAGATGTGCTAAAGTTAAACATTACACATTTAAATATGCATTACTGCCAAAACATGTTTGAAAAGTTAAACATTGCACACTTAAATATGCAATACTACCAAAAGATTCCAAAAGTTAAAGATACCAGTCAAATATGCCAAAACAGGAACAAGAGTCCAAGATGCCAAAAGATGTGACAACCGTCAAATTCTGGTCAAGTCAAAGTCAAATAAAGTCAACAAGTCAAACCGGTCAACTCTACTAACTCTTGTATACTAGGGTTTACATTATGTGATTATTGTTCGACTCGCTATTTTAATAAGAAGTCATCACTTGAAAAGTTCGTATGTTTAGGATTCTTGAACCCTAATCGGGGTAAGTGATGTAGCAATACGATAAAACACTATTGCATACCCTTCGGGGGTGTGTAAGATCCTTAAACATG